CTTGCACTCTTTTTTCCTTTACAGGACTGTTTTGGATACCATGCAGCATGCTGTTTACGTTTATGACATCAGTCACGTGATCATTGACAACCTGCAGTTTATGATGGGTCAAGAAAATCTGTCTGTGGACAAGTAAGGCTACAGTTTTATTATGATATTCTATATAATGGTTTGATTGATAGCTTTGATTGATATTGGCGTATTTTAAATCGAGTTTTCTGTAGTCATACTCTGTCATTGGGTACTTTTTATCAGCATAAAAAGTTAGATTTCTCTAAAAAATTATTTCTTAAATTCATCTTTGGTTATTTGTGAAATTCATTGTTATTTATAGTAAATATAGTGAACCAAAAATGAACAAAGAAAAGGAAAATAAAAACATTTTGTTGAAGCAGCCTGGTTTTAGAAAAATACAGGTAGTTTTTTTGTTTTATGGGCTTCGACTCTGGAACACAAAAGTCTTTTATTTTGGTAGTAGCCAGAATACAATTTATGGATCAAAATAATTGATTTTATGGCAAAAATCATTAGAATGTTATGTAAAGATCATTTGATGAAATTATAATTAGTAAATTTCCTACTGTACATTTATCATTATGTAAATTTTGCATTTCTAAGTACATCATTGAAAATAAACTATTTAGGATTTATTTTTTCAACCATCAGATTCCCAATTTTTAAATTGGTGTATCTCGACCAACTATTGTGCAGTCCTAATGAAGTACACATCAGTGGAAAGTTGATTTATTTTCATAAAATGCATTAATCTCAATTTCCCAAAATTATTATTATTATTTGGATTTTGTGGTCTATATTTACATTTAGCAAAGATTTAAAAGAGCAGAAAAAAACAGAATTCACTACTAGAGGTTTTGATCAAATGTTGTAGAAATCTGTTTAAAAATATATCAAATTTAAACTTCTGTGTGTTGGACTAGTTTCTTACGTATCTCATCCAACGTCTTCTGTTTTGTTTTATTCATAGATTTGTCAGTTAATTCGGTGTAGTCATAAAACTGTAATGTGGTCAAGACATAATGGCACACCTTAGAGCAGGGGTGTCAAATTCATTTTAGCTCTGGGGCCACACGAAATCTTGGGAAAATCTCTTCCCAAGTGGCCCGTACCAGTAAAATCATGGTATATATAACTTAAAAACAACAACTTCAGATTGATTTCTTTGTTTTAATATGATCATCATAAAGCTGGAGCCTGAGGACAACACAATCTCACGGCAATTCATAACTTTTTAATTAGTGGCTACATGAATTCGCATGATCTCATTCCTGCAATTTAGTACGTTTTGCTAATCTACCAATGACGATTGGGTTTAGGGTTGTAGTTGGGTGCCACGCCTCCTTTTTTATATTGTTCATTTTCATACGACTAAACTACAAATTAGCCACTAAACTGACAAAATGTAAAATGGCTATATTTCCTCGTGAGAACATCTCAGTGTGGTATAGCAGGGCGCAGATGTGCTCTTTCTGTCTGAGAAGGCTGTCAAACTGATGCTAATTCAGGCTTCTGGATAGGATGAAATTAACAGTAGAGGTCTGCATTCCCACAGCTGTACTACGGGAGCCGTAGGACCCGACCAGATTTCTTGCGGCGCTGGAATAAATTTCCGAATAAATCGCGGGAGCGGTCGGTAACAGGTGTAATTTGAACGGGATCGGGCTGTCTAACAATATCGCTCCCAACTTCTGAGTGCGCGTGTTGTGTGCGCGTGTTGTGTGCGCGTGTTGTGTGCGCGTGTTGTGTGCGCGTGTTGTGTGCGCGTGTTGTGTGCGCGTGTTGTGTGTGTGTGTGTGTGTGTGTGTGTGTGTGTGTGTGTGTGTGTGTGTGTGTGTGTGTGTGTGTGTGTGTGTGTGTGTGTGTGTGTGTGTGTACAGACAGCTTGTTATAGGCTGTCTGGACTCTATATAGCTGGGTGGTTTTCGGTTTTGTTCTCCCCCCTCGTAGTGGGAATGGGTGCGGCAGGTAGAAAACAGAGCGGGTCAGGCAGCAGGACAACAAATGCTGAATATTAGCAGGAGTGGTCGGGTACAGGCTAAAACCTGACGGGAGCGGGATTCAAAATTTAATCCCGCGCAGATCTCTAATAAACAGTTTGCAATTGCCCTAATGGACACAATTGGAACAGCAGTTACTTTTATTGAACATTGCAGCTTATTTTTTATACTTTACAGAATCATCTCGCAGGCCAGATTAAACCCATTTGCGGGCCTGATCTGGCCTGCGGGCTGAACGTTTGACACCCCTGCCTTAGAGTGTTCATCAGCCAATCAGAACCAACCATTTAACAGCAATGCACTATAATATACATTAATTAATATTATAATTCTATATACAATTTAAAGCTAAATTAGCTGCTATCAATTTTTTTCATAATATTTTCCATTTGATGTTTAATAAAAGAAGGAAATATCTACATTATTCACTATAATATATTCTTGTTCTAAGGAAAGTCTTATTTCTTTTAGTTTGGCTGAAATAAAGCAGTTTTTACTATTTTAAAATCATTTTAAGGTCAATATAATTAACAATATAATAAGAAATATTTTACTTTTGATTGGCTTCAGAGCAAACCACTGTTGTCCAATGACTTGCCTAGTTAACATAATAACCTAGTTAAGCCTTTAAATGTCACTTTAAGGTGATTACCAGTATCTAGCAAAATAAAGTAGTAAAGAATATCGCACTGTCATCAAGACAAAGAAGACAATTGTTAGAATCTAGTTATTAAAACTTATGTTGAAGAAATCTCAGTTTTTAGCAGCTCTTAATAAATATTTCAAAAATAAGTAAAATGTCATAAGTAAGGCTGAAAATTTTGACTGTGTTATCAAATATATTATTATATTTTAATCAATTTTCTTAGGTTTGCAGTACAAGACCACATCATCGGCATCTTCAGGAAGTTCGCCACAAACAGCTGCTGTCACGTGACTTTAATTATCCACCCTCGGAAAGAAGAGGATGATAAAGAGCTGCAGACAGCATCCATCTTTGGCACGGCTAAGGTTGGCAGATAGCGTTTACATTAGCATTTTTTTTTCCAATGAAACTTCAACTCAGCCAAAATACACATGCTTAGTTTGCATCTATTAATAAAATCTAGCCTGTCTAATGCATCCTTTTCCTCACATCAGGCCAGTCAGGAAGCAGATAATGTGCTCATCCTCCAGGAGAAGAAGCTGGTGACGTGTCCAGGCCGGAGGTCCCTGCAGGTGGCCAAAAACCGATTCGACGGGGACGTGGGCGTCTTTCCCTTAGAGTTTAATAAAGCCTCGCTCACCTTCTCTGCTCCTGTGAAGGGAAAGCAGAAGCTTCGGAAGGTGAAAGTGGATGTTAATGAAAACACAGAGGAAACCGAGGAAGCTGAACTGAAGGAAATGAGCGAGAAACCTCTTAAAGCTGCTAAAACCAAGAGCTCAAAGACTGTCAAGGGGTCGACAGCAGCAAAAAGCACTGCAGATTGAGAAAAAAAAAGAAGAGAATTTGTGATTAACATGAAGTCTAATACAGTGTGTAATATGTGGAACTGAAATGTTGGATTGCTGCAACAAAGCAAACTTGGAATATAGAGAGAATCTGGGGGAATTTATGTGAGGTGGTGGTGAATATCTCATGTTGTCTCATTGCATTAAGATGTAAAAGACACTCATTGTATGTCAGAAGCTTTAAATCTTCTTAAAAGGATTTTTTAAATACGTTTCTGATGTTTTATATGATCTGAAATGCAACAAAGTAAGTCGTTTTTAAGACTGATTTATAGCACTTGTCATCTAATACGAGACCCCAAACTTGCATTTGTAGAAGTCTTGTCATACATTTCATGTCATCAATGTAAATATAGATTATGTGCAAACAAATGTAATGTGAGCTTTTTCTATGTCATTGCTACTGTAGGAGAAAAGTGTCAAATATAAATAAGCTATTTCAAAGTGAATGTGAATATTCCTAATAAAAGTTTTATAGAATTTTTGACTTTTGCTTATCTAGGCTTTGTGTATTTTAATTCCTTGAGTTAATGATATACAGTGCTCAACATATATGGGTACACCCCTCACAAATCTCTCATTTAAAATAATATTTTCTATAGGAAGCCTAACAATATTATATTTGTGCATATATGTTAGATTAGTCAGCACTGAAGCCAAATCTGGAGCTATTCTAGCAAAATAACTTACAATAATGGTTTAAGTAGGCCAAATTTATATGTTAGGGAAAATATTAAATAAAGAATCAAGAGAAACAAAAAATATAATAAATATTATTTTAATAAATATATCTGTTTAATATATATATATATATATATATATATATATATATATATATATATATATATTAATTATATTTAAAATATATATTTATATTTAAAAAAATACAGCCTAATTACATAAACACAAGCACACCACATGTAACTGCATTATATATATATATATATATATATATATATATATATATATATATATATATTGCAGTAACATGTGGTGTGTTTGTGTTTATGTAATTTGGCTGTATTTTTTTTTATTGAAATAATATTGACAAATGATATATGAATTATTTTGTCCAATGACAATACATTAATATTAGTTTAAATATGTTTGTAAATTCGTGTTTTTGAAATTATCTTGAATGTATTTTTCATTTATGCTTCAAAAATTGTGAATAGTTTAAATGAATGAAAGGGAATAACCTGTATTCCAGACATGATTTTATTAAATATATTTGTATATATTCTTTATTTTGAAATACATTTTTAATAATATGTATTTGTTTCTGCAAGGTTATTGCTATTACTGTTTTATTATCATCTTATAGTGACTTTAAAAACATTATTATGTATCACGTTGGGTTTTTTCTTGATCTTTATAATGACATTTTACGAATATGAGAGTTTTGCTTACATTGCATCCAGCTCTGAACAGGACATTGACAGTGCAGCGTGTTGAAAAACGTGTCATATGACTTTTTGCACCAATCAGGAGCTTGTGTATGTAGGAAGTGTCTGTTCCTGACCTACTGGTTTCTATTCCTCTGTATAAATCGTATGGATTAATATAGTTTTATTCACTTTATTACTCTCTCCGGCTGCTAAATAAGTTGTGTCGCGATTTAATTTGCATTTCTTCAGTTGCTGAAAATCTGTCAAAGAATTACTTTGATTTTATGTGAAATAACTGCAATAATGGCAAACATTTGTCAAATTAAAAAAGTTGCAGATTTAGTCTCAGAAGCTTGTCGTGTGTATCGGGGCACATTTGGTGAAGATGCTAATGTCGCGGTTTGCGCCCCAGGACGGGTGAATTTAATCGGAGAACACACAGATTATAATGAAGGATTTGTCCTCCCTATGGTAAATACTTTTTTCTTGCCTCTATAAAATGCCATTTAACTTCAAGTGTTGATAAAATAAACAAAAACGACGTAAAATGTCAACTACTGTGTGTGAAGTAGCAATGTTTGATTATTGGTGACGTGCTCGAATCGTTCTTTGTGTTGAATCAGTTGAATCGATTCACAAGAACTGGTGACTCACCTAATAGTAGTCATCATGAGCCAACATTTACATGATAAAACCAAAACTTAGAGCAGATATGTTGGCCATTTGATTGTTTACCAGTTTAATCAACACGTATGTGATAAAGAACTGATAAACCTTACCATATTAAAACAGGCAAAGGTTGTTTCAACCAAGAGAAAAAATGTGTATAATTTGTTAAGTTTGTTATGAGTGACTTTATGATCTGAAGCAGCAACTGTCTGAACTATAGGGCACATGAAACAGCAATAATAAATGTGCCACATAGGCTCAGTTTGAACTTTCTGGAGCTTGTGATGAAGTTATGTGTGTTCCAATTACTTTTGAAGTCGGAAACCAGAGCTGGAAAACATGTCATTCCAGAGTTTGACCCTGTTCCAGGACACAACTCAGAAAAATAAGACAGACAAGAGTTTATATACCAGTAAATAAGAACACATTGAAAAAATAGACATTTTGCAAGTGAGATTTCTGGTTTTAGGGTGTGTTACAATTAAAAGTTCTCTTTTGGAACCCAGAATACACTTTCATTCACTCATTTTTTTTAGGCTTAGTCCCTTATTTTTCAGGGGTTGCCACAGCGGAATGAACCACTAACTATTTCAGCATATGTTTTACTCAACAGATGCCCTTCCAGATGCAACACAATACTGGAAAAAGAACCCAGAATATCACACTTATAAGTACAAACCAATTTTGAAACAGAAGAATGAAATACTATCGTCAATGACATCAAAACTATTGACTATTTTACTGCAGTATGTTTGGAATGTGAGTAAAAAAAAAAGTGTTAAACACATTAAAATCACATGGGAATTATTTGGACACATGTGAAACACAAAAATCAAATGTTTGTTCATGTGAAGTGTGATTGCACGTTTTGTATGTTGGTTTATCCGTGTGCATTTTACATGGTAAAATTATTATCAACTCTTCTTTGTGCGGTATATAAAATATCATTACCCGCAGAACTGAAATCCTGAGCAATGGAATTTATTGATTGTCTTTTCCATATCTTTTTAACTCTTATGTGCTGTTTGGGAGGTTTTCATCCACTCTGGGGTGATTTAGAGTCTTAATTTGGCCTCAACTTTCTTTGTGTTTCAGCAAATGGAATGACTTTTGCTGACAAATCTTAATTTGACACATATTGTGGGAAAATGCTTTGACAATTTTCAAAAACTAAACAGTACACCCTGGACTAATTGACTACCCTTTTATCATGTTAGTGGCTCTTTTTTGCCCCATTGACTTCCATTATAATTACATTTTTTTATTGCAAAGCCACAACATTATATAATTATGTATTCTTGATTGTTGGGGTGTGGGAAGAGGTAACATGTTTTATTTTTTCTGTTCATCATCAGTTGCAGTGTAGTTTCAACTTTCAGTCATTGATAAATGATTGACAAGCATGAGCAGTTTACACACTCCTTAGAACTGTGAATTAATCATGTGAACAAACTGATATTCCTCTCCAGTCAAAACTAGCAATAGCCCACTGAAAATCTGTTATAATGTTAATTTGAATTTGAAACCTTGCTGTCTTATTTTGCTGTTCTTTTTCCGATTGCTTGTGTTTATGTAATGTTTGTTGCTGCTATAAAGCTAGCCTTGAGTTGCTGAAATGGCAGTAAAAATGAATGACTACTACAACTATCTATCTGGTTGCAGGCCTTGCCGATGGTGACGGTCATGGTGGGCAGTAAAACGTCTGGCCAGAAGTGCAGTGTTTTAACTCTGACTGAAGCTGCTGATGAGCCCCGGCTGGTGGACTTTGATCTCCCCAATGAACTGACCCCTCTTTTAAGAGGGCAGCCAAACTGGGCCAATTATGTAAAGGGAGTTGTACAGCACTACAGAGGTAATCTTTTGCAATCATTTTTTGTCTATCTGGCAAAAAGGGGAAGTAATGAGGAAGTGTAGATTTAGTCTGTCTCTAGCACTAAATGTGACCCCAGGGGCCCGCGCTGAGAACTCGTCTTGAGTAACTTCTTAATGCAGTGTTGCTTTCTGGTATCCATAATTGCAACACTTGCAGAATAGTTGCTGAACACATGTTTACTGTTGCTCTTGAAGAAAATAAAGATTGAATATACTTAAGAATAGAGTATTTGGTTGCTTTCACATTAGCACTTTTGGTCCACACCAGGGTTTTTTTGACGTCAAAGTATGATACGTTTAGCTAGGGTGAACGCCATCTCCTGAACCCGCGTGTGCACCTGCAAACTGTACTTGAGTCTGCCTGAAAGAGGTGGTCTGGGGTACGATTCGCATGAACTCTGGTCCGGTTCACTTCTGAAATGAATGCAATGGTATGGAAGTTAACAGCCTATGTGTATTACCTACCTTTTCGACAAGCGGGACTGAGCCAGTGCAAACAGTGATAATGATAACCCGGTTTTAGAAAGAAGGTTAAGTGAAAACTCGAGTATATTAGCCCTGAAATGAGAGAAACCCTGTGTTTTCCATTTCAAAATGGCAGGTTTAAGAGAGGTAACTTTAACTCAGCGTAACTTACTCTGTGAACCTAACCTGGTCAGAAACAGGGGCCTGTTTCAGTAAGGAGGTTCAACCAACTCAGAGTTTAAACTTGAACTGTGAGTTGACTTACCGAGAGATTAAAAACTCTTGAGTTTTCGGTTTCAGAACAGCTGATCTGAGTTAGGTCAATCAAGTCTGATTAGACTAATTCAGAGTTAAGCGCAGACACTGCAACTATAAAAAGCCATAATCAATGGAGCGCAGATATTACGAGTCACCATGGCAACATCTGAAAAAAAGAGATCAGCATATCATTCTCCAGCTGAACTTGATGTGCTCATGCAAAGTTATAGCAAATATGACCACATATTTTTTTTTTTAATAAGCAATACGACTGCATCAGTGAAACAGAGACAGTTAGTGTGGGAAAACATAGCTGCTCATGTTAATATACAAGTTTACATTTAAAATATTTAAAGCATTTAAATATTTAAGTATAATAAAAAATACGCAAGGCAAAGCAGTGGCGCAGTAGGTAGTGCTGTCGCCTCACAGCAAGAAGGTCGCTGGGTCGCTGGTTCGAGCCTCAGCTCAGTTGGCGTTTCTGTGTGGAGTTTGCATGTTCTCCCTGCGTTCGTGTGGGTTTCCTCTGGGTGCCCCCCACAGTCCAAAGACATGCGGTACAGGTGTATTGGGTAGGCTAAATTGTCCGTAGTGTATGAGTGTGAGTGTGGGTGTGGGTGTGTGTGTGTGTGAATGTGTGTGTGGATGTTTCCCAGAGATGGGTTGCGGCTGGAAGGGCATCCGCTGCGTGAAATCTTGCTGGATAAGTTGGCGGTTCATTCCACTGTGGCGACCCTGGATAATAAAGGGACTAAGCCGACAAAAAAATGAATGAATGAAAAAATATGCAATGTAATTTGTGACGTTTATTGACTTTTTCACTTGAAAAAGTGGGGAATGGCCGTAATTTTGAAGTTATTTCAGATGTAATTGCATTAAATTACATAAAATAGTCTACTGCATAGTTTCTACAACAACTTTGACAAAAAAGGAATGCAGATATAAACTTAGCTCAATGTTCTGTGGAAATATTTAATTTAAGGTTTCCACTTTTAAACACGTATATCACTTTAAGATAAAATTTCATTTTTTATAGTAATTTTTTTCAGGGTTTTCACCTTTAATGTTTAAGACAGTAGAGATTATTGACAGGAAAGCATGGGGAGCAGAGAGAGGGGAAGGATTGACATAGGACCGTGAGGCGGGAATCAAACTTGGGTTGCCGTGAGTGCATGTGTCGATGCATTAACCTCTACACCACTGGCGCAGACTAAAATGGAGTTTTTAAAAGATTTAAATGTGACATTTAGAATGTAAGCAGTACTAAAAATAGTTTTCAAAATGAGTAATAATTACATTAATCTAGTTACAGTACATATCCCTGTCGAAGGCCAGTGAATTTCAACTAATTATTTATTTTTTGCAGTATTATTAAAGCTAAAACCTAAACTATAGTAATGAATATAATTGTAATGTTCCCAAAAAAGGACAAGTCATTCTCATAACTTTGTTCTTTGTTTGACTAAAATGTAGGCAATGAATGACTAAGGCTAAGGTGAGAAAAAACGCTTCACTCTGAGTTTTTAATCTCTCGGACATTTAACTTCTGCGGAGTTCAAGTTTAAACTCGGAGTTGGTTGAATGTCCTTACTGAAACAGGCCCAATATCAGCTTGTCTTCTTCAAAAACAACTTCTGCGGACATTGCATGATGTTATGAACATTTTTAATATTTGTACGGCAGATAGACACAAGTGGCTTTCTGTATTTTGGTTTTGGTTACAAAAGTACAGTTCATTTATGCATCTTAGTCGCTGATATTATATTTTTTGCAGGTGAAAACTCTAATGGCAGATGGCTGCTTCTCACCTAGGGCTGTTTATGCTAATGAGGGAGAGATCGTCACTAATGGGCGGGGCTTTCCCCCTCTGATGACATGTACAAAGGGAGAATGTCAATCAGAGTTTTTCTGCAGTTTTTATGAATTGTGCTTATAAAAATGATTAATGCATTTTTACCATTAGAGGCTGGCTATATTCACATGCTGTTGCCACATAACTGTTTAAATTCTTTATAGAAGTGATGTTTGCATTATAGATCCCCACAATATTATTTCTTTTACAGCACAGCCCATTCCTGGCTTTAGAGCTGTAATAGCGAGTAGTGTGCCACTAGGAGGCGGACTGTCCAGCTCTGCCTCACTGGAAGTGGCTGTGTACACTTTTCTGCAGCAGTTGTGTCCAGGTAAAACCTTTTTGTAATATTCAAGCATTGTTGAAACTGACTTCAAGATGTTCAGGATTATATTTCTCATGTTTTTAAAGAGAAGTCACTATGAAAATACAATGCATCATAGTGTTTTAAATGATGAGTAGTTTATTTACTTATAAGTAGACCCACACGGAATCTGCACATGCAGATTTCTGCAGATTTTTAGCCCATCATTGGTTTTGTTTTTATTTACTTGTGTAAATGTGTGTAAATTTATATTTATTCAGTTTTTAAGTTAATTTCAGTATAATTATTGACTAATATGAAAATTTTCATATCATTTATTTACAATGTAGTTTATAAAGTAATATTATCTGTCTTTTAGTAGATTTATTATATAACAGACTTGCATTGTAAACATTAAACAAAAGTTAAAAAGCTTTTATTTTTTATGTAATATATTAAGCTTTTAGTTATGAAACTACCGAAATCATTCCACATAAATTTGCAGATTTTTAACAAAATTCTCAGCAGAAATAACAAAAAAAGTCCACAGATTCTATCTGGCCCTACTTACAGTATAAGTGTCTTTGTCTTTTTTTCTCTGTGTATTGTGTTGTGATTCATCTCAGAGCTAGTTTGTTTGGCGCACTGCTTTGAACATTTATTGATACTATGAATATAAATTTATGATTTATGATTATTTCTATATAATCCCTACACTGTAAAAACTGATTAGTTACTTTAATTTAAGAAAAAGTAAGTAAACCCATTGCCTTAAAAGTGACAAGTTGACTTTACTTAAAAAAAAAAAAAACTGGAACTGTTAACTTGGAACTGTTAATTTTTTATTATTATATACTTGCATATATTCATATATACATAACATAGTTCATTGAATTAATTTAATAATAAACAATAAAAAATGTAAATCATTTTTAAATTACTCACTTTTTAATTGAAGTCAACTAATTGCTTTTTACAGCGTACTAATGAGTCCTAATAAGTACTCCCAGGACAGAAATAAAGCATTGTTAATATACATAAATACTTTTTTTAATTAATCTTTAAACAAAATCATCTTTTATTACTTTTATTATAATAGAGTAAAATAAAGTAAAACAGTTTTTGTAAAAAATAGTATTTACTAAATCTTTTAAAAGTTTGCTTTCAATATGATTTTTTTTTAAACTTGTATTTTTTAAAATAAATGAATACTTTTTGTTCAGCTATATCATATTGGCTTAGATTAATCTAAAGGGATTGTAAAAATGCAATCTTAAAAAGGTTTGATTTTTTTATTCATGATTCCGAAAATATGTAATGGATGCAGGAAAAAGCTTGGAAAACTTGTAAGATACTTCTTAAAAAAACTCAATATGTTTGAATTATTGTGTATATAGATATGTGTGATGCTTAATAGTCTCATAGTCTATAGATAAAACCAAGTTTGAAACCTCCACAGATGATGGAGATCAGATAGCAAAGGCAGTGGCCTGTCAGCAGGCTGAACACACTCATGCTGCGGTGCCCTGCGGCATCATGGACCAGTTTGTGTCTGTTTTGGGTAAAGAGGGCCACGCATTGCTGATTGACTGCAGGTAAGTAGATTTGGAAATCAAAATTCTTCTGTCAAATTACAATTCATCAGTTACGCATAGTTGCTGAATTGTGTATATACAGTTGAAGTCAGAATTATTAGAACCCCTGTTTAATTTTTTCCCCCAAATTTCTGTTTAACGTAGAGAAGATTGTTTTTTAACACATTTCTAGACATAATAGTTTTAATAACTCCTCTCTAATAACCGTTTTGTCTTATCTTTGCCATGATGACAGAACATAATATTTGACTAGATATTTTTCAAGACATTTCTATACAGCTTAAAGTGACATTTAAAGGCTTAACTAGGTTAATTAGGTTCACTAGGCAGGTTAGAGTAATTAGGCAAGTTATTGTATAATGATGGTTTGTTCTGTAGACTATCGAAAAAACGTATAGCTTAAACGGGCTCACAATTTTGACCTTAAAATGGTTTTTAAAAAATTAAAAGCTGCTTTTATTCTAGCTGAAATAAAACAAATAAGACTTTCTCCAGAAGAAAAAATATTATCAGACATACTGTGAAAATTTCCATGTTCTGTTAAACATCATTTTGGAAATATTTAAAAAAGAAAACAAAATTCAAAGGAGGTCTAAGAATTCTGACTTCAAATTTGTGTATATATATGTTTATTAGATTATTATTATATATGCTTAAATATTTATTAAAACATATCATGCAATATTTTCAGATCTTTGGAGGCCACTGCTGTCCCTTTAGCTGACCCTGGACTTGTAATCTTGATCACTAACTCAAATGTTAGACATTCGCTCACAGGCAGTGAGTATCCCACCAGACGAAAACAATGTGAGGAAGCAGCAGCCATTTTGGGCAAGAAAAGTCTAAGAGAGGCTAATTTGCAGGACTTGGAGGGTAAGATTACAAAATGTATAGCTAAAATGAATTTGTTCATTTTCTTTTCGGCTTAGTCCCTTTATTAATCTGGGGTCGCCACAGCGGAATGAACCGCCAACTTATCCAGCATGTGTTTTTACGCAGCGAAAGCCCTTCCAGCTGCAACCCTTCTCTGGGGAACATCCATACACACTCATTCACTCTCATACACTTCGGACAATTTAGCCTACCCAATTTACCTGTACCGCATGTCTTTGGAGTGTGGGTATAGCTAAAATAATATACAATCAATTTAATCAATGTTATTATTATGCTGGATTGAGAAAGTCAACATGCCGATCTGCTATTTCAGCTGCTTAAACTTCTTCTGGCAGCAAATCTCTAGATGCATCTTCTCTTTTGACTTGCCAAACTTGGCAGCAAACTTCTGTCTGATCTGTATTTGTATACTATTTATTTTCTAACTTATCTGACTTAATGTTTTTGTAATATGGGTGATCAAAGTCCTAAAACATTTGAAACCAGCTTAAAAAGGATTTTTGCTGGTTGTTCAAACTACTCATTTAACATGAGCTAAATCAGCACAATTCTTAAAATTTTTGGGGGGAGAACTTAATTGTTTTATGTTCAATTCACTTAAATTAGCAAAAACAATTAAGTTAATCGATTTAAGTTGGGACAACATGAAGAAATTTTGTAGAATGCAGCATATTAACAGTGATCTTGAAACATAGTTGGTTTAATCTGGTCGAACTAGTCTCTCAGCTTGACCAAATAGTCTTCGGCTGATTTTAGCTGTCAGATAGTTGGTCTATCAGCCTAAACAGTTAAGACCAGTCAGGCCATCTATAACCAGCTATAATTAAGATGGAAGATCAGATAAAACCAATAATTATAGGCTACTCATGCTAGCATAATGTTTTTAAGATGCTAATTTCTGTTAGCAATGTGCTAAACATACTAGCATGTTAGCTATTCATGCAAACTCATTTTGTGTCATTTTAGCAATGTGTTAAAACTTTCATTAATTCATTTTCCTTTCAGCTTAGTTTTCATTTTAGAGGTCACCACAGCGGAATGAACCACCAACTATTCCAGCATATGTTTTACACTGTGGATGCCCTTCCAGCAGCAACCCGGTATTGGGAAACATCCATACACACACACACACACACACACACACACACACACACACACACAAACACACACTTACACACACACATGCACACATGTCTTTGGACTCTAGGGGAAACTGTAGCACCCAGTGGATATCCACATGAACACAAGAAAAATACTCCACACAGAAATGCCAACTGGCCTAGCTGGGACTCGAACCAGTGACCTTGTTGCTGTGAGGCGACAGTGCTAACCACTGAAACTGAAAATTTATTTTGCTAACAAAAATAAAGAACTGCAAAGGGAAAATTAAGTTTTGAGAAATAAAAATGAAGTTTGTAAACAAAAAAGAACTGCAAAAAAAATAAATAAATAAAACAAGCAGTGCAAAAAAAAAAAAGCAAAATATATAAATATTTGCAATAAAAAAAAACTATAAATATTTGCAACCCAGTTTTTTTAGCATTGCTTTTATAATTTTTTTGTACTGCTTGATTTTTATTTGTGGTTCTTTTTTGTTTCACTTTTATTTTCCAGAATTAATTTTCCCTTTGCAGTTCTTTATTTTTATAAGGCAAAATTAATTTTCATTTTTCAAAAATTGATTTTCGAATTACGATTTTTGGAGATTTGCATTTAATTATTTTTTGCTCAATACTTTATTGTTTGTTTGCAAAACTTTATTTTGCAAGTATATATGGCCCTAGACGACGCAGTGGCACAGAAGGTAGTGCTGTCACCTCATAGCAAGAAGGCCGCTGGTTCCAGCCTCGGCTGGATCAGTTGCCGTTTCTGTGTGGAGTTTGCATGTTCTCCCCACGTTCACGTGGGTTTTCTCCGGACATGTGGTACAGGTAAATTGGGTAGGCTTTTTGTTGTCCGTAGTGTATGAGTGTGAATGAGTGTGTATGTATGAAGCTGGAAGGGCATCCACTGTGTAAAACATATGCTGGATAAGTTGGCAGTCAATTCCGCAGTGACAACCCCAGATTAATAAAGGGACTAAGCCAAAAAGAAAATAATTGAATGAATGAATATGACCCTAGATTGACTCCATACCAACCCTTATGAGTTTCTGTTGAACACAAAAGAAGATATTTTGAAAAATGTTGAAAACTAGTAACCATTCTTAAAAATAACTAAAAAATCCTGAGGAATACAATAAAAATATGGTTATCTGTTACCGACATTCTTCAATATATTTTATCTTTTTAGTTCAGCTCAAACTGGTTTAGAACAATAAGGGTTGGTACTGTAAATGACAAAAGTTTCATTTTTGGGTGAACTATCCCTCTTAGTCAATCCAACATCAATGTTTGACTGCAGCTTTACTGTCTAGATACACAATAAAACATGCATATTTTGTGATTTATTTATAGCTGCCAAGGATAGATTGGACGGTGTGACATACAGACGGGCACGTCATGTGATTGAGGAGATCGAACGCACAGCTCAAGCTGCTGAAGCACTGAAGCAAGGGGATTACAAAGAGTTTGGGAGGCTGATGGTGGAGAGCCACAATTCTCTGAGGTAAACATTTATAATCGAAGCAAGATTATCATGACTCTGTGAAAGCATCCTGAGATTAGAAGCGCTTCACAGTGACTGAAATCTTGTTTGCTTGACTTATTTGTTCGATCGTTGGGGTTAACTGTCAGTTAAATGGCTTTTAATGATGCATTATTTAACTGGGGTTAATATTGTTTGTGGTAGGGATAATTACGAGGTCAGCTGTCCAGAGTTAGATGAGCTGGTGTCTGCAGCGCTGGAGGTTGACGGAGTGTTTGGGAGTCGGATGACAGGGGGAGGCTTCGGTGGATGCACGGTTACTTTGCTTCAGGCTCATGCCACGGAGAGCGCAGTGAAACACATTCAGGTTTTTACAAGTTTAAGATACAGCTGAAGTCAGAATTATTAGCCCCCCTGTATACTTTATTTCCCTATTTCTGTTTAACAAAGATTTTTTTAAACATTTCTAAACATAATAGTTTTAATAACTCATTTGCAATAACTGATTTCTTTTCTCTTTGCCAAGATGACAGTAAATAATACTTTGCTAGATATTTTTAAAGATACTAGCATTCAAGGGTGGGCAGTATTTATGATACTGTATTTCAAATTCGTATTTCAAATACAAAACAGTATTTAGTCATTTGTATTTGATAGGGTTTATGAAAATAATTTAGTGTCTTGTATTTTTTTATTTTTAAAAACCATAAAATACTTTGCAAGAAGTAGGCGATGACATCACAAAAATTAGGCCTCTGATTGGTGCTTTCTCAGTTATTCGACTAAGCTTAAGATCAGAACATTAAACTGATTTATTTTTAATAAGGTGGTCAGAGATGGGAGCATGGATGGAAATTATGCTTAAAGAAAGTACCAGACGAATGGTGAAGGTATATTCAGGAGCAAGTAAGCAACCATTGAAAATAGCTACTAAGCAATGCTAAGACCCAAAAATATATAATGGCTATAGTGTACAATTGAGCATCTTTGCTTAAAGGGCCATAAAACCCCCCACTTTCGGTTCAAGTCTACTTCAGAATTTTTTCAAAAGATGCACCATCATGGGCGTGGAGCTCCGCAATCAGAGGCATGAGTGGATGTGGCCAGCTGAGCAGGGGAGAAGGAGGGGAGCGAACAACTGTTGTCAGTCGGCTCGCAAAATGAGACACAAACCATCAGGAGACGCATGATTTTATAGTTTACAAAATTAAACTCCAAAGAAATAAACAGTAATTTAATGCCCTACTAAATTTGTTATTCATAATTTCATATACACACAACTACAATTTCTACAATTGTAAAGATAATCGTGTTTATGTAAACACTAAATGAGGACTTTTCCTTCAATCCCCGGGTCTGAATGCAGACTCTGTGCAGCAGGTCTCCTGCCCTGTCTATTTTAACCATTAGCCCTGCTGGTAATCTAGAGGATTTAGGCAAACACAGCAGCACAGCAATGTGTCTAAATTTGAATGAACTCCACTGATAAATGACAAAGTCCGCCATTCTCCAATTCTCATACTGCTCTCTCGACAAAAGTGCTTGCTACACACAAACAGCTTTGCTAAATTGGCCCTGACAGCATCGCAGGGAAAAACTTCCAACAAACCCCGTGGACCATGGAAACAAACACATACGACCCTTCATGAAGACTGTGTGGGGTCCGTGGATGCGGTTTCACCCAGTCATTAATATAGGGTCTCACAGCTTGGCACTGGCAGGTCTTTCTTGCCTTCAGAAAGCACGTGCAGTCATGAATAATTAAGAAGCAGGCTCTTCTCATTGGATGAGAAAACTCAGCTATGAATAATAATGAGAAACCGACGCGTCATCTTTGCACTTGCAGTTTTGCGCTACGTCACCATATTTGATCCTGCCACAAAAATCATTTTGAACCCGGAAGATGAAATTAGCTGACAAAAGCTCAAAATTATCCAGTTTTCCCACAATTACAGCTCTAAACTGTCTAAACCAGGGGTCGGCAACCTGCGGCTCTAGAGCCGCATGCGGCTCTTTAGCGCTGCCCCAGTGGCTCCCTGGAGCTTTGCCAAAAAATGTTTGAAAACGGAAAAAGATGGGGGAGGTAAATATATTTTTGTTTTAATATGGTTTCTATAGGAGGACAAACAATCTTAACGTTTTCCAATGCTGTAAAAGTGTGTAGAATATCTATTTTCAACATTTCTGTCAACGAAGATTTGCGTCATAGCCTGCGACACACGGAATAGGCAGGTGGCTGTTGTAAACTATCCAGCGGCTGTGTGATGCGCCATGGTGCGTAAGCTGTCTTTGCCAAAGATGTACAGCGGGGCATGCTCTCTCATTTTCCCTCCCTGAGAGAATTCAAAGAAGCCCATCCCGATCACTCACTCAACGGTGATTATTTACAAGGTGCGATCGTTGATATGCAAACTGCATTTGGGAGCAGATTTTGCGAGTGGCCAAAGGAAAAAACGAGACTGTCTTTCCTTGTCACACACCCCTGGAGATTGACCCTTCCTTGTTGAGCACATTCCCAGTAAGGGGCACGTTATGCACGTTCATTTTGATGTTGTTTTTTGGAATCCTCAAAATAAAAAACATCAAAAATCTGATTTCTTTACTGCATTTCTTTAATTTCATCAAAGCAAAACATGATGCATTAATATTGTAATGAAGTTAAACTTTAACATTAAACATAATTCATTAATATTGTGATGAAGTTAAACTCGAACATTAAACATAATTCATTAATATTGTAATGAAGTTAAACTCGAACATTAAACATAATTCATTAATATTGTAATGAAGTTAAACTCGAACATTAAACATAATGCATTAATATTGTAATTAAGTTAAACTTGAGACGGCATCGTACAACAAAGTAGTCACGTGGTGCGTCATTCTCTACAGGATGCACTGCAGGGAAAAAAAAACATTTAATCATGAAGGCTCAGTATGTATTTGTAGCCAACTAAATCATTTTTATAGTAGGCTAATATAGCTAATATAAATACATACAGCATGTGTTGCCTTCATTATAAGGCTTATATAAGGCTTTTAATTTTTTGCAGCTCCAGACATATTTGTTTTTATTTTTTTTGGTCCAGTATGGCTCTTTCAACATTTTGGGTTGCCGACCCCTGGTCTAAACTGATGCTCAACACATACACGTTAAAATGTTAACATGTTAAAATCTCAAAAAAAGTACTCGAAGGTTGCTTGAACCTTTAAGAAATGTAATGGACTAAAATCTCAGTCCTGAAGAACAGGATGAGGAGCTTCAGAAGATCATCAGTGTCAGTCTGCTGCAAGTAGAAATGCAAATACTTTGTACTGGCTTTTTTAAGAGTCTAAACTAAGAGTCTATAACTCTCTAATAAGACAAGCAACATAAAAATAAGTCCTACATTGGCGATACCTTTAATTCTTTATTTGCTGTTTCAATGGCACTAGTTGATCTGCAGGTGCACTGTATAGCTAATTAATGAAGATGGAAGATGACTGCATAAAGATGTCAAAATGTCACAAGACATAAAACACAAATATTTAATAATACTCAATTCAGACTGCTCAAAAACTCCAGACTCCCGTCACACAACAGCAGCAGCAGAGTTTTTAGTAGTTTCACGTTTTTACATTGAGTATAAAAGAGTTTGATTGGGGAAAAAAAATAGATTTATGACGTATTCTGTGAACAAACAAATTTAAATGAACTCTTCATATAGGCCTGTCACCCTCTTAAAATAAAAGAGTTTTAAGAGGTTGAATAATCATTGAACAGAGATGATGGCAATTGTACTGGCCACACAATAGGTGGAAACATAATCAATAGATATAGCGCTGTTCTGACTCATTATCTGCAATTACTGGTTTATATACAAGTCTAATTGACTCACCATTAGGACACAACTTCCCCCTTTAGGTCAACGAAGTGACAGAGAAAAGTTGTTATCAAACATTGTTTACTTCACTAGTTTAATGTCAGTCAGTCATTGGTTTTACAGTCAGTTTAATGGTGAAGGGATTGATCCAACAGGACTATTGATGGAAGTTTTGTGATGAAATGTCATGCTCCCTTGTAGAAGTATTTTGCAGTATTTTCAAAACACAAAATACAGTATTTTATTTTGATATTTTTTGATATTTGATATGATATTTTTGTGGCTGCTGTCATTTGTAGTTTATTTTGATACACTTATAATTTATGTTTTTGGTATTTATTTTAAAATACATTTAAATGTATTTGGCCCATACCTGCTAGTATTCAGCTCAAAGTGACATCAGCTTAAAGTGACAGGCTTAGCTAGGTTTATTAGGCAAGTCATTGTATAACAGTGGTTTGTTCTGACTATCGGAAATAGATATTGCTTAAGGAGGCTAATAATATGAACCCTAAAATGGTTTTAAAAATTAAAAACTGCTTTTATTCTAGTCAAAATAAAACAAACAGGACTTTCTCCAGAAGAAAAAATATTATAGGAAATACTGAGAAAAACTCTGTTAAACATCATTTAGTAAATATTATGATAAAATTCACAGGAGGGCTAATAATTTTGACTTCAACTGTGCTCTGGGTTTCTTCGAATTATTATTTCATCCAAATGAAACCGATAAATGCCAACTAATGAATACTTTTTTTCTGTTTCTATATAGGAGAAATACCAAGGATCTCCCACTTTCTTTATAACTACCCCATCAGAAGGAGCTCGAGCTCTCAATTTATGATTTATTTCAGTACCAAAACTGATTTTTTTTACTTGAAGTATAATTTAAATTGACTGTCATTTACATTCATATCATTAATCAACACACTAATCCAAATAAATTTTCTCTAATCAATGACAAATTTGTTATCCAATGTGTCTTCTTGCATTTCCACAATGATTAAAATTTTTAATAAATGGCAAAAGAATTGTATTTGCATTAACAGAGTTCATTCATCGATGATTACAGTGATAATTACATAGTAATATATATATATATATATATATATATATATATATATATATATGTGTGTGTGTGTGTGTGTGTGTGTGTGTGTGTGTGTGTGTGTGTGTGTGTGTGTGTGTGTGTGTGTGTGTGTGTGTGTGTGTGTCTCTATATATGTGTGTGTGTGTGTGTGTGTGTGCGCGTGTGTGTGTGTGTGTGTATATATACACACACACACACACACACACACACACACACACACACACACACACACACACACACACACATATATATACACACATATATATATATTTGTTCACTTGTTTTTCTGTGAAGAAAAAAGAATGGCAATCACAGCTCTACCATGATTTACAGAAAACGGACACTAAAAAAATCACTGAAAGTCTAACAATAGTTATGGGCTTAAAAATCTGGTCAGGAATATTTAGATGAAGAAGCATTTAATGCAACATATTAACAGGCTGCCTCACAATACTAATACATTGTCATTTTACAATCTATTCTTTGCCAATACCTTTTGAATCACCCATTTGCCAACAAGAAGTTTTTATTATTTATTATTTTATTTAAAGTCTAAAAAATAATCACATACTTTTATTTATATTGATAAGTACAGGTAACAATTAATTAAACATGTCATGTCATGTCCTGCAAGGCATTTATTTCATCCTAAAATAAAGATAAATAACTAAATATTTATATTTGTATTGTAATTGTTGTAGAATTCACTCATGTAATTGAAGCATTTTGTACGATACATAATTTTAAATGATGTGTGAGAGGATATACATATAATTACTTATTACTAAATATCTCAAATATCTAAATATCTGTTAACATATTATTAAGGCAGTACATTTGTGTGTGTGTGTGTGTGTGTGTGTGTGCACGCGTGGGGGGTGCTACTGTACTTAAAGTGTATACGTCAGCATTTCATGATATATTGTAATGAACTGTGCTCTAATAAATCCGCGACCCCTAACGGCCGCGTGCTGAACTGTCCCGGAAGGCGTTCGTTCAGGGAGGAGCCAGAGCGCAAATCAGCAGTGAGCGCAGCAGGAAACACTTCACTGATAATCCTTAACCGCTGTGTCCATACACACACCTCGAAGGCGAGGTAAACACGGCTCGAGCTTGCTCACCTTCACCGTTCGGCGTGGTTTTCCTCTTCACCTCGGGATAATTGCGCAAACCCGTTTGAATCGTGGACAGAGCCGGGACATCGGGCCGCGGTGAATCAGGTGAGTCCTGCCCGGGCCCGTCGACTGCTGCCCGGCCACAGGTGTTTCCACTCTCCTACTCCTTGGTTATATCGCAAAACATACTGAACTGACTAGAATGCGACCGCAGAAATGTTCTTATTATTCCTAGAAATACTGTCTAATTCGGGAGCTCGAAAAGTGTTAGTGTATTCTAACTTTCAGCTTTATTAACATGTAATTATGAGAGTGTTGTATAGCTAACTAATGAATAACAATCAATCTCAAACGAAAGCAGCACCTAGTGCTGACCTTGTGCTGCACTGTTGCTCGTCTTATCGTGGAACTACACCTTTCTGAATGAGAGGACAGAAAATGTATTGTTAGATCTCTAGTTACTACCTCAACAACTGTACAGATTACTGTATCTGTCCTGCACTGTTACTTACTCTTTCTGCCCTGCTATAATAGTGTTTCAATTATCCTATATCCTATTTATTTATTGACTGAAATAGGTTGACTTACTATGTGCAGATGGACGTTTAGATGTGAAACTAACTGTAGGTATACTGTTTATAGTATATTGTGGACTCTTGTGTTGTAGATATCAACTGATGTTATATATTACAGCATACTGAATGTGAATTACTGTAAGTATCTACATTATTGTTTCGAATAACTTTTGATGAAATAAGGTGCAAAAACTATGCAGTAATATTCATTAAGGTAAAGTTGGTTTTATATTCGCATATTCAGACTTTCTCCCTAATCATATAACTTCATAAAACTCTTCTTTGTAAACTCTAAATAGTGAAATCATATTAGCAGCCAAATCCTATTAAAGTACAACTTTATTCACAGTCAGTTAAATAGTGCTAATGTTGTGCTGAAGTCATTCTTGCATGGGATTTCAGAGCCAATATTTACAGTAGCCTGTCACTGTAAAGTTGTCACTGTACCAAAATGAACGAATTTACGAATATAAAAACAACTTTACCCCGATCTAATATACCATTACTGCATTCTTCAACTTAAAATATACAACTGTGGTAAGGGTAAAGTTAGTTTTATAAATGAAGAGTTTAGATGCAAAAATTCTCTAAATACCGTCTGAAATTTTCCTCTAAAATGAGCATTTTTATCAGGCTTCTCTGTGTATGTTTAGTAACATCACTTTTTATGGCAAAGAATAAGTTCTTTGTCTTTAAAGTGAAATATCTCAACATAAACAAAGGAGGCTGTGAAAAATGTTCATTATCAATGGAAACCTGGCACTTTGCAACTGAACTCTTCATAAATAAATTTTATATTTCACACATTCATTCATTTTTGACTAGTTACTATTTGTGCCATGCTACGTTAAATATTGGCTCTGAAATCACATGCAAGTATGACTTTAAAACGTTAGCTCTATTTAATTGACCGTGAACAATGTCATACTTTGATAGTCATTGGCTGCTAATATGATTTTCCTATTTAGTATTTCCAAAGAATACATTTCTGAAATTATATTTGCAAGGTGAAAGTCCAAATGTGCGAATATACAACCAAATTTACCTCAGTAACTATATATTTAACAAAAAATAAACAAAGTGCTTATTCCGAAATAAAATTGATGAATATTCCATTACCTCATTCTTCAACATAAAATATTCTATTGTGGTAAAGTTTGTTTTAAAGCAAAGCAAATATTTTAAAACATCATAAAATTGTATATATATAATTCTATATATATTATGATTTATTTATATATATATATATATATAATTTGATGATATTTTATATTTCAATCTCTGTCTATTTAAAAAGATTGAGTGTCTTAAACTTTCTTGACATGTAAATTCAATTGGTGAGACTTGGCAAATCAATCTAATTTCGGTAGACCAGTAAATAAAGAACTGATTAAGTGAAATTTGAAAATTTGTACAAGTGCATTGGCTAGAATAGCCATGTGAATAGAGATCAGTAGCTGCGGTTTTCCACATGCTTTTGAGTGAAAAGTTAAAGTGTTTTGGCAAGGACTGGGGAATTGGCTGTCCTTGGTGTAGTTCTTGTGTACGGCTGTCCCACCGGTCTGACAGGTTGAGAATGGAGAGTGAAAAAGCCTCTACCTCATTTCAGCCTCTCCTGTTGCTTCACTCAACATGTTTCTGATGTCACGTTTCTCTCATTTGCAGACTCAGAGCCACTACATTTGATTCATTTACCTTAATGGGTAATTTGTGGATTAAAGTATATTGTTGCAGACTACAACTAACAATTGTGCCATGTACAATAGCTTGATTGTTGGCGTCACATGCAATTAAACGTTGGCTCGTTTCTTTCAGAAGCGACCTGTAATGTATGACTGGATTTATCTTTGACCTTTAGTTGAGCCAATGCAAAGTGCTGGTACAGTGACCTCAAATAAAACTGTGTTAATGTACCTGACAAACCCGTCATGTTTGTGTTGACACAAGGACTGACCTGAAATACGTGTCAGAGAAGGATACGGAGTGAATATGGGTTTGTTTAATACAAGTGCAGAATATTTAGTAGTTTAATCCACCAGGATGTGCATTTTTAGTCAATAATATAGTGAAAACAGTATAACATTCGTTAGAAAAGATTACTTTTTCTTATAAATGCTGTTGTTTAAATGTGTATTAATCAATGAATCCTGAAAAAAGCGTACTTCCCACAAAAATATTAAGCAGCAAAATTGTATTAACAATAATAAGTGTTCGATGAGCCAACAATATTATATACTGGAATGATTTCTCATGTATTTTCTGAAGACTGGAGTAATGGCTGCTGAAACTGTTGAAATGGAAAGCTTATTTAAATTTTAGGGATGCAAGAATTCAATGATCAGGATCAGTACTGGCTTAGCCATTTTTACTGATTATTGATCGTAAAGAAATAATTCAGATTCTACATTGTGTGAATGAACTGTTGTTACAATTAAAGGGATAGTTCACCCCAAAATGAAACGTTACACACTATTAGCTTGCCCTCGAGTGCTTTTTAAGTTTCTTTATTCTGTTATTCTGAAACTTAAAAAAGTGTTATCATTGACTTCCATAGGGGGATAAAATACAATGGAAGTCAATGCTTACAGCTTTCCAACATTTGTCTACGTATTTGCTTTTGTGATTAACTGAAAAGGTTAGTAAATGATGACAGATCTTTAATTTTTGGGTGAGCTATCCCTACTATAAAGCATCATATTTTTGTGTGTTTTTTCAGTCTTCTACATTCATTCAGTATATTAATGTGATGATCCTTTCTGAATCTGAACGTCAGCCATTCTTCATTGAATCATGTCATGTTCAGTTACAACATTCAGAATAGTAAAAGTTACTCCAGGATGAATTGAATTTGCCTTTTAATATAATAAATGTTTTACTAATGGTTTGTAGTTTTGGAGGAGTTTTAACTTGCAGGACTTTTTTTCAGTTCTGAATGATTGACGCTGAAATTTCATATTGCATAAAAGTACCTCATTCCATCACAACTAACATGTTGTTAAAAAGCAGTGCAGCACATTTAAATTTAATTTAATAGTATTTACTATATTTTTTCCAGGCATTTATATTGTCAAAATTAGAAATGGAAAATAGTTTTTTAACATTTTACCAGAAGCGAGTCCACATTAACTTTCCTAACCATTAAATAGTTGTGCATAAATTGAGCTTGAGACTTTTGGCCACTGGATTTTTATGCATTTGTTGCTGAATTATCTTTCAAAGCAGAGATGCTCAAACTAGAGCCTGCAGGCCAAAGTTGGCCCGTGGTAATCTTTGATTTGGCCCACCATCCCATCTGAGAAGAGAGGAAGAATTATAGGGATGGATTAGAAATTGTTTGTTCAAATTTTAAAGCTAACTGAAATTAAATGAGGTAAATTAATCAGATTTAGTTTAAATGTATGTAGTCACCCAACGGATGGAGAACAAATGAAGCCAAAGGCAGATTCTGCTTGACTAATGTATTCAACATTGAACTCCTCTGTGCTATAAATGTGATTGTTTGTTTTTATTGCAATAAGTTCTCATTTTAAATGTTATACTGCATTAGTTAATAGGATTTAAAGTAGTGTTTTCTAAATAATTAGGAATTTATGCATGGCAATTAATGTAATATAATGTAATATAGTTTGGTATTTTTATATTTGGCCTAAGTCTCTTTGGCCCACAGTTTGAGCACCCCTCTTTTAAAGAGATAGTTTACCCCAAAATGAAAATCATTTATACTCCTTCATATGGTTTTAAACCTTTATTAGGAGTTTTATCTTCCTATTGATCTTATTCATCCTATTTTACAAAAATTTTTCCTGCTATTATTCCCAAAGACACTAAATAATAAAAACTTGTATTGGTTGATATTTGGAATTTGGTTCTTACAAATGCAAGTATAAAGAAACGGACCATCCTTGAATATTTTACATAATCAAAGGTTTATACCCAACCTTAAGCATACTTTACAGCTCACACTCTCGGTTTGGTTCTTTAGGTCCAGTTGTGACGGACCAAAGAAAGAAAGGGATACATTTGGCCATTCTTTTTTTTTTTTTAAAGCCCAAATTTTGCAATACCAACATACTAAAATAGACTTTTATGACGTAAATTTTACCACTGAAACATCCAAAACAAAGCCGTGTGTTGGGTTAAACACAGTCGGTGTATTTGCACCCATATAACGATTTTTGTTTCATCTGTTGACAAATCATGAATGGCTAATAATAAATGTGTAACCGAGTCCAAAGTACCACAGTGTCAGTTATTCCTCCATTACGCACAAACTTGAACTATACTATAATGTATGTACACAATTTTGTGGGATGTAAATGAAAACAACGGTCCCAACGTATTTCCTGTTTTACATTTTAATTTCTATAGCTTCCGAGAATCCAAAATGAGCCACATGTGGATAAATAGCTGTGTGATAGCTGTTTTACTTCAAGTTATGATTGAATTTCCTCTAGTTACAGTTATGAAATAGCTAACAAGCAGGAAGTGTTCAGGGGCCAATTTCCATGGAATTATTAAACTATAATGTGC